CTGTGGCTGGGTATGTAATACTTTGTTTTTGGACCTTGTTCCAGTCAGCTGTCGGCCATGAATATCAGTCAAAACTTTCCAAGCACTGCTCGCAGGTTGACTCAGTCCGGGGTTTTGGAGGCAAGTTTGGGGTCCAGATGGACAGAGTTGATCAGGTGAGTGATGGGACGCAGGGCCGAGGTAGGGCGGGGCAAGGGGGCGCTCCCCGGAGATCAGCGCTACCTTCGATACTGCCATGCGCCCGCCAGGTCTGTCCTTTGGGCTATGCACGGGAATGTACAGGTGCATTCCTGCTCTGAGTTACTGCAGGGACGGCGTCCAGGCCCAAGGACTCGCGGGGCCTATCCCCTCCCAGGATGCTCTGAGAGGACAGGCTGATGGGGGAAGAACGGGAAGTGCGAAGGCCTTCACCGTTTGCTGTGGAAACCCCTGTGTTGCCTTCTGCTCATCACATGGGCCGGGTCACTCTTCCCTAAGGGCCCCCAGTACTGGACAGCCTTAGATTTGTCCAAGAATGTGCCAGCAGGGACCAGTGCACTCATCTTCCTGCTTGGACGTCACTGCAAAAGGCACTGTTCAGAGCCCGCACTGCGGAGCGTGATGCGTATGTCCTGTTCCAGGGCTGCGGGTTAGTGTGAAGATATTGGCAGTCCTGGGCCTGAGCCTGTTCTGGTTCTCGGCCTCAGGGCCGTCAAGTCCTGTGTTTTATAGTGTAGCAGTCAAGAGCCTGGATTTTGGACAGCAGTCTGCATTCTGGCTTTGTGACTTATTAGCCATAGTTCCAAATTTACGTGTCTGGAAAACGTGGACAAGGATAATGCCTGTCTCATGGGGCTGCGTCCGACATGGCTCAGGTGGCATGTGCTCGGGGGCCCCGCATGGGGTGGGACTTGTGGGACATGAGCTGTAGCAGCCACTGCAGTTGTTGTTGATACTGTGTTCTCAGTGTGGCTTATTTGAAAAGCAGCCTGATGTGTGGCATGGGGAGTTGTTCCAGACTGGTGTTCTGTGGGCGAAATAAATCAGCTGAGCACGCTCTGCAGCAGGGTGCTGGGGGCAGATCACCACAGATGCAGCTTGGCCCTGCAGTTCCTGGGACTTTGTGGAATGTTTTATGGTGTGTGAATTCAAAACATTAGAGATTTTGGTATTAATTTCACCTGCACTTGGCTTAGGAAACCAAAGGTCGAAAAATAACATGGTTCATGTGTTTTAAAATTTCATATGTATCATGAATTCAGAGTCTTTTTATATATTGTGAATTCAGATTGTTTTGGAGGCATTTTAAAAAGCATTTGCCTTTGTTTTTCTTGTTGGTAATTGCAGTCTGCTGTGGGCTTTGAGTACCAAGGCAAGACCGAGAAGCACGCCTCCCAGAAAGGTGAGACTTAGAAGATGCAGACAGGAGCCCATGCAGCCCCACCATCGGCCTGGCTTTGACGGGTGCATCACAGTCACGTGAAGCCTGTTCCTTGGGGTGGGTGGGCTGTTTCCACAGGGAGAACTTTGCTCTCTCCTTCAAGTTTCTGGGTCGTCTGGATATTTTTGACAGACATGATCCCCGTGATGCAGCCATGAGAAGCCCTGGCATCTGGTGTCACTGCGTTGCCTCCCACCTTACAGTGAAGTCACCCGCCCTTCCTCTGAGCAGCACTGCTCTTGGAGAAGTTAGCTGACTTGGCAAAAAACTAACCCCCCGCCCCCTCCCAAAAGAATAGAGACCGGAGTTGTTAATTTCTTGCTTTCACTGTACACATGTGGCTTTAAGCATGGTGGCAATTAACCTTCATTACGTCACACTAGTCTCTGAAGCCTTTTGTTAGAGACGGAAACATATCGCTTCCTTAAAGTACTCAATGTGTTTTTGCAAGTTTGTTTAATTTTGCCACTTGTGTGTCATGTAATCCTGGAGTGAGCTCTCAGTCCATGGGTGGAGTGAAGGGGCAGGGGCTGGTGGAGGAGCAGGTCTCACCTGTAAAGCTTTCAGCTGCGCGCCTTGCTTTACACTCCAGCCTTTACCACACAGGTGATTGTTAATGTGGGCACATAGCTTCATGTCTGCCAGTGGGAGAGCAGCGTCTGCAACAGTGGACAGGGACTGGAGCGCACGGCCTGGTGCTGTGCAGTGTGCCCAGCCCCGTGCAGCAGCGGGTGGCTTGCTGTGCGTTGTAAGACGTGCGTGCGTCTTCTTGTGAGTCGCGGCCCCTACACAGTTTTATTTGGCTTAGTTTAACAAAAGTGACAACTAGTTTGTCATCAGGCTCACATGCTGACTGTGCCATCTTCTTAGACTACTCGAGTGGTTTCGGCGGCAAGTACGGCGTGCAGGCTGACCGCGTGGACAAGAGCGCCGTGGGCTTCGACTACCAGGGCAAGACAGAGAAGCACGAGTCACAGAGAGGTGTGGCTTCTCCCCCACCCGAGCGGGTGGTGTTGTGTATATGTTTTTACCTTCAGGTGTTACGGTGTGCTTTTCACGTCAGTGTACGTGGACTGGCCATATTTTCAGTGGCAGCTCAGTCCACCATTGTGTGAAGAGTCCATCGTCTATTTAACCATTCCTCTTTTGAATGTAGAATTTAGGTTATTTCCAGTTTCTTGGTGTTATAAATTGCAGTGAATTTTTCTTTCTTTCTTTTTTTTTTTTTTGGCGACTAACTGGTGTGGGGATCGGAACCCTTGGTATTATAACACTGTGCTCTAACCAGCTGAGCTAACCAGCCAGCCAGCAGTGAATATTCTTGTATCTGTATCTTATGCACATGAGTGATCATTCAAAATAATTAATTTCTGGAAATGGAATTGCTAGGTCAAAGGATATAGAATTCAGAGTTTTGGCTGACCAGTTAGGCCAGTTGATTGGTGCTGCCTTGTAGTGCCAGGGTCAAGGGTTTGGATCCATGTACCAGCCAGCCACCAAACAAAAGAAAAAAATAATTTTGACAGGTAAGGCCAAGTTGTCCTAGAGGCAGTACTGGTTGTTGCCTTTGCCCTGTAAACTCACAGGGCCTTCCCCATGAGGGTGTTCATGAAGGTTGTGTAGATTCAGCGACCTGGTGCAGATGTCAGCACCTGTTTTGTTTGGTCTGCACATTTAAATTTTTAAAAATAATTGTCAACATTTGAAAACTGAGAGCATGAATATTTTAAAAAAAAGATCTCTTTAAAATAAAAACAATAAGAAAAACCACTACTGGAAGATCTGGCCATGCGGCCTTGACATTTCCTTGAGGAAAGCACACCTGGCCTGCCCACCAGCCAGCCAGACCCCTTTCTTGGCTCTGGAGTTTGCAGCCCCTGCCTGCTGTATAGGGTTAGTTTGCTCTCACTTTGCTTAGTCCCCCTTGGCCAGTGTGCGCAGTGCTCATCAGGACCTGCTGCTGGGCCCCGTGCCATGCAGACTCTGGGGAAGCATCAGCACACGCCTCTGGGCAGTCTGGGGCACAGGCCACGGTGCCTGTGCTGCTCCGATGCCCCAGGATCCCTCTCCCAGGACTTGGTCTCTGCATTCTGAGCCAGTGGTGGGTCCATGAGAGATTCATGCTTTCGTGTCAAAAAAAAAACATGTTAAACAACTTGGCTGTAGTAGAACTGATGCTTCTGGAAGATGCTCTGTACGCGTCCCGTGTCCTTGACAGCCCTCCTGGCACACGCTGCTTACTTCGGTTGTGAAGCAGACGGACCTCTTAACGCCTCACTGCTGCGGCTCAGCCTTTTATCAAGAGCCTTCTCATGAACTGGTGCTGCCTGCTACTGTAATTAGCCTGCTGTATCTGCCACTCTTTATGTTTGTAGTATTACACATCAATAGCACGTTTAAATATTACCCATCTTAGTGATCTCACACTGAGCCTAAAAGATTTTTTGTTTTTTTTAAATTGAGTGATAAATCCACTGCTAAGACCATGGCACATCTGTTGATTTTGTTCCTGGTTTTTAAATAGCACTTCTCTTGTTTTTAGATTACTCCAGAGGCTTTGGTGGCAAGTATGGCATTGACAAAGACAAAGTGGACAAGAGCGCTGTGGGCTTCGACTACCAGGGCAAGACGGAGAAGCACGAGTCGCAGAGAGGTGCCTGCAGTTTTCTCCTGTTCTCCCGCCAGCAGCTGCTGCTGGGCAGGGGTTAGCTGGGACAGAAAGGAAAGGCGAAGTGTTGCCGACGGCCCTTGACGCAGATGTCTCTCTTTAATGAGCGACGCAGGTTTAAAACAGCAGATCCTAAACGGCAGCTGTTAAATGAGGGACGAGATGTTTGCATTTTGTTCTGGCTCCCATGTGGCTTGCAGCGATGGCTGTGCTGCGCGCGCGTGTGTGTGTGTGTGTGTGTGTGTGTGT